GCTTGTTCGGTCCGTCTATGCGAGTTGGTGTCGAATAGGTTTTTTCGACGCTGGGCACGCGATCCAATGTGGAAGTTGGTACATTACCGACTGCCGAACCTCTGCTGCGACAAGATCAACGAGAATCTAACGAACAAAGATTTGTATAATATTTGCTTGATCGCTGCGGACCAAACTGAAAATCCGAACAAGAGAAAGATGAATCACTCGAATGATTTCTTAAATTTCTGCGTCGATAAAATGAGAAAAACCGACGAGATCGAAGTTTACGATAAATTTGTGCAGTTCTTACGGGGGTAAGTGTTGTGAATGAGCTTAAGCGAATCGAGCTTGACCACGGGGCGCTCTTGGAGACCGAGTGTTGTGTATGAATGTTGGGCCATTCTATTGACGAATCGTGCCAGCGAATGACGGGTCGTCCTATAAACGGACTGTACCTTGAATGAAGAGCCATCCTATAAACGGATCGTGCTCCGTGTGAGTTAACAACCTCTTCTGTAAAACAGGAGCGTGAGAATGAATGTGTCACTTGGACTCCGGGCGCCTTGATCGATCGGCGAGATCTTGCATTTGCTCGATACACAACACATACCGATAGACTACGGATTGGGCAAAAAAAGCGTAAATGTTTAATTCTTCTTCCGTTTTCGAGTTTTATCAAGCTTATGTGAATTTAAGGAATCATTCGAACTATTTTCGTATATAATCTTACAAAAAGATTCAATTGTATAAAGTAAATTAAAGCATTACTGTATAACAACTTCAAAATTAAAAAATAAAAAATTCTTAAAATTTAATTGATATTTGTGTTATCATTAAAAAATTCCTATACCCTTCCTTCACCTATTTCAATTATTAATATATGGCAGAATTTCTGTGAAGTTAAATGTCCAAAAAATTGTAGTCAAATTGGGGCCTTTTACGACACTTTTTCAGAGTCCCAAAGTTTGACATTTTAGCTTTTTTTCGAAATTCATGAAAAATCACAAATATTCAAATAATTTCTAGATTAGAGTAGAATGATTCAAAATTAAAAGTGCCCATGAGCTTTTTTGTTGAAAATTATCCAAATTTTCAGAAAAAATCACTCCAAAGTAATCAGAACTGTCTAGAAGCGTATAGAGTAGAAAAAACTTCAAGAAAACAAGAAACCTGATCGAGTTCGAACCAGACTTTTTTTTCTAAACTGTGTAAAAAGCTTCTTAATGATGTCAACAACTGCCTGAAAAAGTTTTTTAATGGGTCTTAAAATTTTCAATCTACTTGAATAGTACCCAACTCATCTATTTATTCAGATCTTATGCAAGATAAATCTTTTTCTTCATTGAAAGATAAAGCTAGTAATAATACTTTGAAAGCAATCAAAGATATAAATTTTATGCAGATGACTGACGTTCAAGCAAAAGAAATCCCTCCTTTATTAGAAGGACACAACGTTGTTGGTGTGGCAATTTTATATTATTGTTTTTGCCTTGTTTCATAGGAACTGGATGTATAATTATTTTTCCAACCCGGAAGCTATCAATACAGATATATGGGATTCTCTAGGACTTGGCGAAGGAATTACCACCATCATACTTTAGCTCAAAATCAAGTAGCACCGCCACCAACCAAAAAAAATCCAAGAAAAGGACAAAATCATCTTAGAAAATCAAAAAAACGAGAGATAATGGAAACTCCCAATTCCACAACTGATAACATGGAGTTAACATTGCAGTCTAATGAGGATAAGGAGAATGAAGAGAACATTCATCAGTTAAATGAAAAAGATTCTATATCTGCAAAGAAACCTTCAAAATTACCAGGCACTATAATGGATAGAGTGAATGAAGAATCTGAGCAGTCTGAGAATGAAACCGACGAAAATGATGAGTCGCCTCAACAATAGACTTCAGCTATTCATAGCCTTATGTATCAATTGTAATAATTCACAAATTATTACATTGGCAATACTCACTGGGATGAGTCCAAATTATTTGAACTTATTTGAAATCATTTATGTACTCTTCATTTAGGACTTCATTTAGAATTTATCAATTCAAAATCTTTGCCTTGATTGCTTGACAATTTATGAACTCTTATAAGGAAGATAATATAGATATATGTATCTAAAGTGTGTTTGTTTACTTGACCTAAATTACATTTGACATATCAATTGGAAAGTTACATTCATGTAAGAACTCAAGGCATCCTCCAAAAAAACTGCTCAAGCTTATGTACAAAATGTAAACAAGCAACAATATATGTATAGTAGTAGACAGTTCTGAGATATAAAATTTAGACAACGCTGAACTTGAAAACTACACATATGAAAATAACTTTTTAATTGATCTGTTATAACTTTTTTTTATGCTCAAAAAGCAAGCGCAATTTCTATATATTTGTTTCACTAAGATTCACACACAAAAAACCATGATTCTCCACTTAATCCCATATTTTTTTTATCCACTTATTTACAGACTTGAGTTTTTGCCAATATTTTCTTCATTCACTTCATCTTCAATTGATTTAACATTACAGAAATTGGAAGCATGGTTTCTAATTAAATCTGAAAACCTTTTCACAATTTTCTTGTAGGTATCTTTTATGACTAGTCTTCAAAAGTCACTTTATTGGAAATTTTCATTATCCATTATTTTCAAATTTGATTTCACTAAAGCTTAGCTGCACTCATTCATATGTTTATAAATCAATTCCACTACTGGGATGAGAAAAGCTAAAATTTTTCCTCAACCTGTTTTAGCCGCACCAACAACGTTGTGTCCTTTTAGTAAAGGAGGGATTTCTTTTGCTTGAACGTCAGTCATCTGCATAAAATTTATATCTTTGATTGCTTTCAAAGTATTATTACTAGCTTTATCTTACAATGAAGAAAAAGATTTATCTTGCATAAGATCTGAATAAATATATGAGTTGGGTACTATTCAAGTAGATTGAACATTGCAATCTTCCCCCTTAGTTCTCTTATTTGCAACTGGCACATTTTCTTTTTCTGCCTTTGACAACTAAACTTTGCTAACTTCTGACCAGCACTGAAATTAGTTAAACCACTTGCAACTGGCTCATCATTTTCTTCAATTTCTACTTCTTCACTTTTCTGATTGCTTAACAAGTGCTCTTGAGTCATTTGGAACTAACATACACTACTTTACATTGTTGAATGCATGACTAAGACTTCTGCAATAAGACTCTTTCTGTTTCACTAAAGCAGCAATTAAAACTAGGTTATCCACTATGCTACTGAAAGAGCAAAACATGACAGTTTCGACATAAACAATGTGCAGTTTTTGTCAGGCTTGAATTCGTTTCCGAAGTGCTTATAATGATCTCCAAATTGATTCGTCGACTGCTGCATAGGCATTAGGCACGGACGACACACTCAAACATCTTTCTGCTTGTAGCTCGTGGCTGCGCAAGTACACAAATGAGTCGGAATTCGATGCCCAGCTGCTAGTTTGTGACTCGCTGGCTTTGACTATAATTAGTGATGTACGTATCTATGCATGTATAAGTGTTCACGCAAGCTACGAACTCTTTCGTTATAGGCTGTTTTCACGGTCGTCAGTGACGGTCAAAAACCGACCAGCTGATTTGACTGGAGGCCAAACAAAGCGACCGCGCGTATACTTTACATGTTAAAGGTGGTTGGTAAAAGTAATTATAATTAGTTTAACGCTCAGTAAAAAAATAAACAAAAAATATCTGGAGAAAGCGGAAATCCTTGTGTATCGAAATATCGAAGCGGTTTTTAGTTAAAGTCTTTAGATTGTAAATAAAAAAACATTGAAATTTCGGCTTTTTTGTCTGTTATATTGTCAATAAACTCTAATAAAATAGTTATTAAAAGTGGTTTTTTGGGTTGCAATACAAACCCTCAAGCGGAGAATTGTTTATTCTTTCAAATTACCAATGAAAAACTAAAAAACAATCGTAATTAAGAATATTATCTTTCCACCAACAGCAGACTTAGTTTGGAAGACGATTGCGAGGTCATTTTCATAATTTTTCGAAATTACGATTGTTTTTTAGTTTTTCATTGGTAATTTGAAAGAATAAACAATTCTCCGCTTGAGGGTTTGTATTGCAACCCAAAAAACCACTTTTAATAACTATTTTATTAGAGTTTATTGACAATATAACAGACAAAAAAGCCGAAATTTCAATGTTTTTTTATTTACAATCTAAAGACTTTAACTAAAAACCGCTTCGATATTTCGATACACAAGGATTTCCGCTTTCTCCAGATATTTTTTGTTTATTTTTTTACTGAGCGTTAAACTAATTATAAGCACTTTTACCAACCACCTTTAACATGTAAAGTATACGCGCGGTCGCTTTGTTTGGCCTCCAGTCAAATCAGCTGGTCGATTTTTGACCGTCACTGACGACTGTGAAAACAGCCTATTGGGGCCAACTGTGTATCAAAATTTTACATGAATTCAATTTCAATGTATGCAAAAATGTTATATTGATTTGTTCGAAGTTTATCAACAACAATTTAATGTTTCAAACTATTGCAAATGGTTGAAATCGGACATAATCAAAATAACCGATGACGTGTCACAGTTTACTGTCCGTGAGTTGCCGTAGTGGCACCGAATATCTCCGCTCCGAATGCACTATAAAAAAGCAAACAGAAAATCATGAAAAGAATATAAAATAAAATGTTGTATGCGAAAAATTGTTTAAAAAATTTTTGTAAAACCGAATATAATTTACAACGTTTTCAATTTGTTGCAATGATTTTAATAATCATAACTTTGAGTCGGATAAGCTACAGTTGTTTGATAGTTTTGATTTTTCATCTTATATGTACAACAACATGTACGAATTGGACACGCACATACAATGGACACACAACACATACACATATACGTGCATACCACAACAATAACAACAACAACAACAACAACAACAACAACAACAACAACAACAACAACAACAACAACAACAACAACAACAACAACAACAACAACAACAACAACATAATAACTACATAGGGTGGCAGTAGTTTTGGCTCCATAGACTCTCTGAACGATATCGCAAAAGGTGGTATCACCGCCGTGCCAAGGGTAAGAGACAAGCATATACACAACACCAGCAAACAATACCAATATCATACAAAAAAAGCTTCTAGCTTTTTCGCGAGTCACCTAATTTATTTTTTATTGTTTAACTCTTGCACAAGCGAGTCGAGCCACGTCATGTATAATAATACATTTTATATCGACCCAGTCCTCGGTCTCTCCCTCGAGCTACATAAAAACGAACTTTATTTTTCACTCGTCTCATAGGTACCGGCCTTTACCCTCGCATAGCTGCCTTCCCCGAAGGAGAGAAATTCCATTTCACTTGAGGTACAGCCCTCGCCGATAAAAATCATATAATTTACCGGACCATTCACGAATCTATTACATATATTGCCCCGGAGAATATCTGTATTCTTGGCGATTCGTATCTCATATTTATACTCCCGGTTCAATTTTCCTTTCCGCTTACGGCTTACAGAGAAATACAGATATATATACCGTTATACGAATGACGCGCAAAACTAATCCCTTCCGATATTTCCACACAGGCCGAGGAGGAGGACAAGTCGGGGAAATTTTCCAGTTTGCCCTTGGCCAGTTTCAACTTCATCAATTCAATAATCGGAAGCGGCGTCATCGGTAAGCTCCTCAAGCATAATTACGCATTCAATATTAAGATACAAGAATTATTTATCGATCGATCGCTTCAGGCATACCCTACGCTTTGCATCAAGCCGGCTTCGGCCTCGGGATCGCCCTGCTGATCATCGTCGCCGTGCTCACCGACTACTCGCTCGTACTGATGGTGCGTAGCGGCCATCTCTGCGGCGAGATGAGCTACCAGGGTCTGATGCGCGCCAGCTTCGGCCGTCCGGGCTTCTACATCCTCTCGGCTCTTCAATTCATCTATCCGTTCATCGCCATGGTCTCGTACAACGTCGTGGTCGGCGACACCGTCACCAAGGTACTGATTCGCGTCACGGGCCTGAGTCACGACAACTTCCTGATGCGCCGCGAGGTAGTGATTCTCCTGGCCACGGTGCTCGTCGTCATTCCGCTCTGTCTCTATCGCAACGTGGCTCGCCTCGCCAAGATCTCCTTCCTGTCGCTGGTCTGCGTCGCCTTCATCCTCGTGGCGATCTTCATACGCATGGACACGATGTCGGCCCTGGTGCCCAGCCACGAGGACGCCTGGCGCTTCGGCAACATCGAGGGCATCATACCCGCGGTGGGCATCATGGCGTTCGCTTTCATGTGCCATCACAACACCTTCCTGATCTACGGCTCGATCGAGCGCCCCAGCCAGGAGAAGTGGGACGTGGTGACGCACTGGTCGCTCTTCACCTCGTTCGTGGTCGCGTCGGCCTTCGGCATCGCCGGCTACGCCACCTTCACCGGCTACGTGCAGGGCGATCTCATGGAGAATTACTGCTGGACCGACGATTTGATGAATTTCTCCAGGATACTGTTCAGCGGTACCATATTACTGACCTTTCCCATCGAGTGTTTTGTCACTCGCGAGGTACGTTATTTCATTTTTTTTTTATTTTTGACTGACTACGTATTATTAGGTTTGAAATGAACAGTTAGATTTCATTTGAGAAATATAAATATATAGCAATCAACATTGACGTTATCCATGGAACGTAACACTATGCTTTTCATATGTGGTAAAAATATCAGGATCCTCAGTTTTTGAGATATGATCAATTAAATTTCGATACTTAAGGTACTTCGAAAATACGCTATTTTGTGTGATTATAAAAAAAACGCATCGATAGAATCTTTTCAAAGACTAGGAGATCTAACTCGAAAACTGGAAGCTTCTGTTTATGCAGTTTTTGTGAAATTTTAATGTACAATAATTGTAAAAATAAAGATTTGAAATTTTCGCTCGAAAATATTGTGATTAATATTTTCGGGTCATATTAAACAAAAATGTACTCCTAAAAATTCGCTCTAAAATCAATTGTTCACGAGATATGAACGATTCAAAATTGAACAATAAATTTTTGCGATTTTTTATATTTTAACAATTACAAACCTTTACGAAAAAGTTGAAAAAACAAAAGGACATCTGAATAATTCGAGTAAAACGGAAAAATTGGGAAAGACCGTGAAAGTCACGGAAAAACCCAAAAAACTAAGCTCGTAAAATTGGGAAAAACCCTCGCAGTGTATACAATAAAGGCCCAAGGAAGCACAGTTGCATGTCAGTGAATAATTAGAATTTTGGAGTTTCGAAAAATGCAATGGAAAGGGGACTGAATGTAATTGAAATCTAATTCGTGTTTTTGATCGATAAAAAAACTCATTCTGTAAATCTTTCAAAAAATCCACATCAATCCCCGTATAGAGTCCACCACTTTTACGTATAGCTTTGCGAGCCCAGCTGTTCATTTTAAACAAGATAGGATTTCTCTTACTTATCGTTAATAATTTACGCACGTACTCGCACACAGGTCATCATGACGGCGCGACGAGGCACCGACGAGATGAGCGGCGGCGGCGACCTCTACATCAGCGGCACAGATCGCCAGTACCTCGTCATCACTCTCGCCATCATCCTGGCCACCTATCTCATCTCCATGTCGACGGACTGCCTCGGCCTCGTCTTGGAGCTCAACGGCATCCTCGCCGCGGTGCCTCTGGCCTACATACTCCCTGCCCTGTGCTATCTGCGGCTCGAGCCGGGGCCCCTGCTGTCGCCGCTCAAGCTGCCCGCGCTCAGTCTCCTGCTGGCCGGCATATTCGCCGCGGTCTCGGGTCTGCTGCTGCTCGTGTTCAACGGCTCGGACTCGGCCTCGTGCGTCCACGGCGGCGTCATGTTCTATTGTCTGCAGAACGCGACGACGACGACGACGACGACAGCGACGACGCTGGCGCCTACGTCCGCGGTGACGCTGCAGCAGACCGCCGCCGCCGCCGCCGCCACGATCGCGACGAGCACCGCCAAGAGCGCCGTCGTCGCCACGAGCAAGGGTCTGGCCTCGACGATCGCATCCATCGTCGGCTCCGGTCTGCCACCGAGCTAAGCTCGTCCTCGTGTAAACTTCCTCGATATAAGCTTCCCTTATTCAAGTATATCAGTCGTGACGAAACGAATTAATAAAAAGGAATAAAAAAAATCATTAAAAATGTTGGATGCCAAAGTTGCGAATCTATATTGACATAGATCGACTTGTAATAGTATATAGGTGCTGCTCGATTATTATGAAATAGGTTTGTCCGATCGATTACTCTGGTACTTATAAAATTCGAATTATTACGCAGCTCCTGGATGAAAAAAATTACTTAAAAAAAAAAAATTGCTTTGCAATCATATTGAGAATGATAATACACGTACGATAAATGTATACTATAATCGAGCTCCTGCTCCGTGATACGATACACAAATTTTATTAGATATATTTAATTAAATGAGAGGCTTCGTGCAATAGGATAAAAAAATTTAATGGAAAAGAATGATGTTGAGAATTAATGAATGAAGCGATAAACAAACAAAAAAGAAGTTATCTTCTATCTGCTGTTATTGTGTAATTATAACAGTCCGAGAGTGCGAGAAAAAAAAAGACAGATAAATCATTTGTGAACGACAATATTTTTCGTGTCAAAATATGATAATTATGTAAAAGTACAAACCTCTATGTGTACACCGGGCTTCTGTGCGCGCGCTTCGCATAACGCTTAAGACTTTTAACTACTTTTTCTCGTATGTATTTCGCGCTTTTCTCTTTTTTTCACAATTTTTTTTCCTGCTGAATGTGCAATTCACACAAATATACGACTATCGATCAAACAAATTGCGTACAAATGGTTTTTTTTTAACGACGTTTTTTATTATATATATGATATATATTATATATATCGCAGAAAGTATAATATTCGCCGACTTGGATTTTTTCCTAATCTAGTCGAATTTATATATTTTTCATGGGTGATTCGAGCTCTCGAGATAAAGCATGTTTTTCGTTTTATTTGGTCATTTATGTACCCACTGCGCGTCACTTCGATAATAATGTAGAATAGAAAATTATTTCGCCAAGTCATTTTTTTCCTCTGCAGTAAATGTAGTTTTTTTCGGTAATCAAGCTTTGCTTTTATGCATAATAATGAATTTGAATCTCAAGGAGATTGCAAAGTCGGTCCAAAAAGGAAATTTTCAAATTAAAAAAAAACTTAAATTGGAAGTTTGATTTTTTGGCTGACGGCGAGAGTGTGGCATTAACGAAAAAAACTGAGGACCAGATTTAGGTGCCGTTGGAAATGATATAATCTCATAAACATTAAAAGTCTTGATAATAATCATCTTCCAATTTCTATAGATTGACCAAAACTTATTTTTCTCGCTTGAGTGAGTATACAAGGATGTTGAATGTTTTCTTGATTAGATGAATGGATACAATAATACAACTATCGAATTTAAAAATCGATTCATCGATCGCGCGCGATGATCGCAAAAGACCATTATGAAAAAAATTGAAAGTATATTTTAGAGGCACAAAAAAATTCCAGCTTTAACAAGATTCTATTTTTTAACAAAAAAACTTCTTGGTGTTAGTCGTCGAATTTTGTCGAGAATCACTTCTAGAAACCGCAAACAAAAACAAAAGAACTCTAAAAAATCAAACTTCGGTGTAGCATTGATCAAATTTTGAAATAATATTTGTCGAGTTTAAATGCCTGGAAATCTCTTTGTGAAAAAAAATCAAACGTGTATCTATAACTGAATATAAATGTTCCTCGTAAGGCGAAAAAAAACTTTAAAAATAAACTAAAATTTTCGTGGTAAATTTACAACCGATAAATACTGTACTGGTAATATATGTACCAATAACATTTTTCCCTCCGAAAATTTACCCTTATTTTTTATTCATTAATATTGTGATGGACAAAAATTGGGCATAGTGCATCAAGATACTATCTGGGAATTGATAAGAAAATCGAGAGTGTACATAACATTTAATATTATATAAATACGAGAGAAAGAATCGACAAAATGTAAATATTATATTATAACAAAGATTGAATTTCATTAAATTTGAAAACTTATTTTATTGTGATTCAATATATAAAACATTATTATTCAAAGTAAGATATTATATCATTCTTATTAGAGCTCGGGCTCATGTTTTAGGGTCCGAACTCGAACAAAAAATCAGATAATATATAAGAACAGCAATGCCTCCCCTAATAGTGTAAGAGTAAGACTCAAACGATAAATACAATATATTATACATTGTAATGGAAAATATATAAAAAATGGGCAATCGTGACCATTTTCAATGCTGTGATAGGTCATTTGATTTGAAAATGAAAATAAATAAATATATTATGTTACGTGCATGCTACGATGTGTAATGTTAATTGTAATTTTTGGCCTCTTGCGTCGTGACTTATTAAAACTGTAAATAAACTGAGTTTACAGGCTTCAATCATTTTTTTCGCCTCTTCATTTCTTCTTTCCGTTGCCTGTCACAGTCTGTATGTGCAAAATAAAACATATAATTTTCTTTTCATGAAATCATGTTTATTTTCTAAAAGAAATATGTTGTTTTTTTACAAAAGCTATAAACATGGATAAAATAGTATATTATGATACGCGTGACTTAAGCAGGCAATTATTGCACGGCACTGTTAGCACCCTCGCTTCTCTCGGGTGCTAGTGCCGTGGTAAGAATGGGCTACTTGAGTCATAAGTATCGTATGTTTTTTTATTATAGCACTACTTTAAGTCATAATAGCATAGGAAGAGAGAAGACAGCCGTATATATACCACACTGTACACTGCCGTACCGTCGACTGCGAAAGCAACACAGCAGTACGAGGCGAGCAGTCGTCTGCTCGCGCCGACTGTTGCTGTCATATAGCGCTTGGATTCTCCGTCTCGTTTCTTCTCGCATATAGAGCAATTCGCACACACACACACACGTTATATATACACACACTGAAAAAAAATATCGTGCGATACCGTCATCGCGGCCGCACTTCTGCGCCTCGGCCTGTGTGCAGCGAGCGCGTATTATTACGGCCGTCGTCGTCTTTGGTTCGGCCGCGTGCGTGTGTGCTTGTGGTGGCTCGGTGCGCGTTCAATTTCTTTATTTTTTTTTTCGAGTTCTAATCTCTCTCTATATCGACACCGTGTTGTGTTCCAATATAATACAGTGTTTGTAAAGCAGTGCTGTGTGTCCGCGCGATGTCGGCCTCAACTGGTGGCGGTGGCTTTCTCGACGGCATCGCCGGGGCCATAGGCACACCGACCGCTGCCCTACGGCTTCTGCTCTCCATTCTCGTCGGTAAGAGGGCGATGCAATTTTTTCACTCTACTGATTTATGGATATGAAATATACGAGCGATATTTCATTACACCCAGTATACCTGCATCAAAGTGCCTACATTTGTGTATGTGTGTGTGTGCAGTTATTATCGGAGCAGTACCATAACCTCGCGCGAGTCGTACATATACACTTCAACTTTTGAAACGTATCGTAGCATATTCATAAGTGTACGCTTGTGTATATATGTGCTCTCTATCGCAATTCGCGCGATTAGAAAGTAATGAGGTTTTTTTTTATTTCACGGTGTATAGGTTGGCTGTGCTTCGTGAAAGTCCGGCGATAAGTAGGCCTGTTTCGCGGCCCGTCAAGATCAGCGCTTACGATTGTGTTTATTACATTCTAACACTTCCTTAGGGTCGAATATATTTTCGAGTCACTCTTATACGCATTTTTTTTACATTTCGTTCCTTATCATCTCTCTCTCTCTCTCTTTCTCTGATTATCGCTCGAAACGAGCGAGTATTTCACGTATATCCCTGCATTCTAATCGGGCCTATACGTGTATTTTATATTCAAGGTTAATGCGTTGTAGCAGTATATATAGCAGAAGCGACACACAGTAATAATTACTCACTCTGACTTCGATCAACGAAAAAAAAGCCAAAAAAAAAACTGATCAGTCACGTTGACGCTGCTGTTAATTTGCAAATCGGCCCGCATCAATACCTCTGTATATATGATAAATTCGTCAAACAACCACGTTCTAAATTGCAAATAAAGGGAAAATAACGTTGACTAAAATAAATACATAGTACATAATCGCCGGCTTACGCTGCGCTGTACTGCGGCACATGACCCGCCGTTATCACTTTACACACTCGCATGTGCACGACGATATTAAATATATGTGTCAAGCAGAAGTCCATCTATCTGTCTCTCTAATCGTTTTTAAGCAAATTTGCCGATCGCCGAGCGCACCGGGCTTACGTAATGAGATAAATTAAGACAGGCCATAAGACGCGACACTTTTTTTTTATATGTGCATCGATTTATATATCTACTTCGTGGTTTTTTTTCTCGAGGCTGCAAAGTGTCATTCTCAGAGAGAATAATAAAATTGATTGTTTGAACGTGTCCATGGACTGCAGTAATTTTTTTATCGAAATTTAACATACACCATCGCAAAGTGCTCTTTTTAACGAGTAATTTAAAAAAAAGAGGACCTCTCTACGATTTTTTTAACGCCCTGTAGATCGTTTTGAAGGTACCATTTAAAGTACGTAAAATCCCCCGTTTAGCTGAAATCAACACGAATTTCTGGGCATTTTGCGTACACAAATCGTGTATATTTTTTTTTTCACGTTGTATATTGCTCACCTCGCCGATGAGGCAGCTATATAATACACACATAAAGACAGGTAGCTGCTACTACCGGCGTCGTATTATAGTACCGAGAGAGATAAATAATTCATCGGCGAAACGAAGAGACTGCGGCTCGCGCTAAAAAATTTAACGCGTAACGGCTTATAAAACCGACCTAGAAAATGCACAATTACGTGCCCGATATATGACGTCTTGACTTTTCAATTTGTCAACCTTTACTCACGCTTGTCTCTCTCTCTCTCTCTCTATCGAAGACGATGTAATATTAAATATAGAGCGTACCCAGCGACTATAATACCAATTTAGAGTTAGTTAGTTTTCTTTCCTTTTTTTGTTGTTGTACCGTAATTTATGAAATACAGTAATGTGTATAATATTCGCGCGTCTAAGTGGCTGTAATGTATGCTAATATACGTTTTTTCTTCTTGTTCGCAGGTTTCCCATTGGCGACGTTTTACAGAAAGCGCCTTTATGGACGGAGCCCGATCACGCAGCATTGCTTCTTCGTCGTTAGCGGATTTCTCATAGGTTTTTGGAATTATGGTGAGTTGAAAAATTTTTAAATTTTCTATTTTGTACAATAATCGATCGATTATAAGTTAGTGCGAAAACGTCGATTCCGTATCGAAAATTATTTCAATGGAATTTTTCAACGTAATCCTATATAAAATTCGATGATGAACACGGATCTGTAGCTTGCTAGATGATTAAACAATTTTCTATAAACAAATGGTCAACATTAATGTTTATTGACTCCGCAACCCTAAATTAAAGTTAAGTAGATAATTCTAAAAAAAAAAGGTTTTTTGATATTTTTCTCTAAAATTGATATATTTTGAGTTATTTGAAAAATAAGAAATTTTTAGTTTTTCCAGTAATGTAGACGATTTTGCTGTGACACTTGAAAAATTTCCAGTGCGTATCGATGTAAATAATCCTCAGGAATCGGCTGATGCCATCGATTGTCTTATATCTTTGTTTAATAAGTATACCTAATAATATTCATAATTTACCTCGATGTGCTCTGAGATCGATTGTGTTCGTGTAAGCTACGTCAGGTCCTATTTTTGACCGCAGGGTCTATTTTTTTTATTATAAAGATTTTTTCGAACTTATATCTAAGTGTTATGTTCACTTGTTACATTACGGGCCTGCTGTGATCCTGCGAAAGTTACTTCGAAATCTAAGTATAGAATTGTACAATCTTGCTTTAAAGAACAACCCTATTTTGCCGTTCTCATAGTGACGTCGGGGGTTGCGAAAAAATGAAAGATATTTTTGGATTTCTGAGAATAGGAACTACGGTTCTATCGTGATGCTGACCGATGGCGCTAAAAAGTTTCTCAAAAAAAAAAGTTATTTCTCATGAGTATGCCACGAAAAAAACTTTATATGAATTCTCTACTTTTATGTTCATCGATGTATAGCCCCAGCTGAGCTTTTCGAAATTCGATAAGCTGAGGTCCAACTTTGAATTATGTTTAATAACGGGATCCGTACTCCAGTCTAAAATTAAATTTTTCAAAACAAGTTTTTGAAATGTCTACTGAATATTTCTCTAAAAAGTTCATTTTTATTTTCTTGAATTTTTCATGCAGTTTTTTGGAGAAATACTCAATAAAAGTTTCGAAAAACTGGTTTGAAAATTTGAATTTTCGGCTGGGGTACGGATCCCCTTGATGTAGTACGACGTTCTTTACGAGGAGTAACACATTTCAAATGTGTAACGAAGACTAGCACACAATAATAGTTTTATGATAAAAACTAGCACATTCCAATTTTTTCTATCTGAAACTAGCACGTTTCGACGACTTCGAATGTAAACTAGCACGTTTCAGTGATTGAGAACTAAAGCTATCACGTTTCAGCAGTTACTAAAGAAAATAAGCCCGTTTATTTATTTCGCGTTTACCCTTTTTTTACATGTATTTTTTACGCGTATTTAATATCTCTGTAGATCGTATACAGAGTAACAGCTAGAAGTATCACATGTCCATTTTTGTGACAAAAAAAACAAATACAATCTTTATTTTTTATTAACTGTGTGTGTTGTGCGTGAGTGTACAAATCGATATTGGACATGTCAATTCCTGAAGACTTAAAAAAGTTAATAAAAATTTTAATTGGGAGGACGCAGATAAAAGGATCGTATACATGATGAATCATACATAAAACATGCTACTTTTTGTTGCAATATTTGAAACGTGCAAGTCTTTAATACGAATCATGAAATGTGCTAGTCTTCGTTTGGAACAATTGAAACGTGCTAGTTTTCGTTATAGATTTTCCAAACGTGTTAGACTTCGCTACAAATTTGAAATGTGATACTCTTCGTAAAACCCACCATCCATACACTTATAGATGTTTATAATTATAATATCGTCTGCCTCTCCACCTTATTAAATGTATATTCTCAATCATGAATTCTTTTCTCTTCTTCCTCAGGCATGGACATGTCGCACTCGGTCTACGCGCTCTGCCTCACCTTCCTCACCTTCAAGGTGTTCGGCTCGACTTGGACCTCGGTCCTCGTCACCTTCGCCTATAACATGATCCACCTGCTCTACGGCTACTACACGACGTCGACGGACGACTACGACATCAAGTGGACGATGCCGCACTGCGTGCTCACCCTCAGGCTGATCGGTCTGGCCTACGACCTGCTGGACGGCAGCCAGCCCGACGCCAAGCTCTCCGTGACGCAGCGCAAGACGGCGCTGCGCCGTCAGCCCAGCCTCCTCGAGATGGCCGCCTACGTCTACTTTCCCGGCTCGTTCCTCATCGGTCCGCAGTTCAGCATGAGGCGCTACCTCGACCACGTCGACGGCACACTGGTCGAGACGGGCCTGGACGCCGAGGGCCGTAAACTGCCACCCGACTCGGTGGTGCCCGGCCTCAAGCGAGCCGCCGTCGGTTTCGTCTACATCGCCCTCTACCTGTTCGGCACTCAGTACGCGTCCGATCAGTATCTGCTCGATCCGGACTTCGAGCAGCTGTCGTTCGTGCGTCGCTGCTTCCTGCTCGGCTTGTGGGGCAGGTGCAATCTCTACAAGTACATCAGCTGCTGGCTCATTACCGAGGGCGTCTGCATCGCCTTCGGCCTGGCCTACAACGGACGCGACGAGAAGACGGGCCGCGACAAATGGGACGGCTTGGCCAACGTCGATCTGTTGACCTTCGAGAACGCCACCGAGTTCAATCACTACATACTGTCGTTCAACATCAACACGAATCATTGGTGCGCCGAGTACATGTACAAGAGGCTCAAGTTCCTCGGCTCGAAGCTCTACAGCCAGCTGGTGACCCTCACCTTCCTCGCGATCTGGCACGGCACTCACAGCGGCTACTATCTATGCTTTTTCCAGGAATTCATCATCATGTATTTTGAAAAAGACGTAAGTTCATTAAAAAAATTGTATCTTGATTATTTAATACATCATTAATAAATTAATCGCGTGAATTTCTTTCAGATGAAACCTGTCCTGCTGAAGAACGAAAAGCTGATGAATTTCGCCACCGGCTCGATGCTCGGACGAATCGTCACCTGGATCCTGCTGAAAATCTACACCTTCGTGTTCATGGGCTACAGTCTGATACCCTTCGTGCTGCTCTCGTACTCGCGCTACATGAAGGTCTACACCAGCTTCTACTTCATGGGTCACGTCATTTTCCTGTCTTATCCGCTGCTGGCGCCGTTCATCAAGCCCTTGGTGCGCGGCGGCAAGAGGCGATCCGCGGAAGACAGCCAGCAGCAGCGTCCGCATACCGATTAAGGCGCGAGAGAGATCATCGAGAGAGCGCGCGGGGCAAGAAGCAAATTAATCCGCTGGTACAAATTAGTTTTTAAATAAAACGCGGAACAAAGAAGAAGCAGCAGCTACACAAAAAGAATTTTTTTATAAATAGATAAACTCGAATTGTATCGCGCGTCGATGGTGTTATTTTTATTCGATTTGAAATCTAATTTTTCAAAGTGTTCCTAGCGATTGTTTCAATTTTTTTTAAATAGTGCAAAAACAAAGCCCAAGCGTGAATATCGAATATTTTTCTACCGAACACGTGGAATTTTTTATATCTTAAAAAGTATGCGCCGAGAGAAAAATTAAGACTGCATTTAAAATGTATAATTTCACGAGCTGAATCAAAAATGTTTGTACAACCTTTTATTCGAAGTTCACTCGTTTGCTTCAAAATGATTGGATGTATCGGTGAGGGCGACACCAAACTTGGTACCACCTTTTAATTGAAGTAATTAAAGGCGTAATTAAATTATAGAAGATTATCTCTTAGTGTGACGCAGCCATTTTTAGATTTGGCTCATGAATGTGTACATTTCATTCTGCGTGGCGTGGTGTTAACTTTTCTCTCCGTGTATATTTTTTATATACAATCAAATTGACTAATCAAACAGAACAATAATGATTTTAAAAAAAGAAAACCTTGGATTGATTGTTGCGTTAAAGAATGAAAGTACCTATTATTATGTAGATAAACCAGAACCTAAGAATTCCCTTGTTACGTGCGATTATTAATATCGATATTGAAATCAAATAGAGTTCAACCAATATATAGATATATTTTTCGAATCGACTTATAATTATTGTTATGTATATTCGAACTAATCAATTTGAACGAAGAAAAAATGAGTGGTATATTGATTATCGCACCCCCCTCGTACTTTTTAAGTGTTTGTATGACTCTGTAAGACTATTTTTCATCAAAGCATAATTGTATAATTATATATTCTGTATAAATGTAAAAAAACCTGCATAATCGAAAAAACTTGCGTATGCTTATAATAATACTACATGTGTAACGTAAAGGAAAATCCAATTACATAATGTGCGAGCGACACGACGAGATGTTTACAAATATTATATATATTATGATCGAATTTACAATAGACAATATATGTTCTCCTCGATAACGAGACAATTTTTTTAAAAATGAATTAGTCAAGAGTTACGCTTTAAAAATTGAGACTCATTGTGATTTGTGATGAGATTTTTTTTTAAAACTAAGAAAACGATTTTTCAAAAAAAAAATGAAATAAAAGACTCGACGTTTTCATATCAAGCCAAATATCATATATTGTAAAAAAAAATCACGAATGGATCATGAAAAAAAAAAACAAATATTATACAACGGTAAAAACGATTATTTTAACTCGTGTATTTTACATTAGAAAATAAAATTTACATGTTTCCTAAACAGGCCCGTGTTGTCTCGAGTCCGTAAATTACTCTCCACTCAATTTATATATATTCAGCGTACAAATTATTCCGCGCCACGCGCGGATCTTCGCGGCAAAGTCATCGCGGATCTGCAGCTCGCGTCGCGTAATAAAAGTGTCGCGAAAATTATACACACACATGTACGCGCGTGCGAGAAACGCCAGGCTGCTGCAAAATTGATGGGCTTTCGCCGCCGCTACCTACCACACACGCGAATATGTACGTCTGAGCCTGCATAAATCAGCGGCGTCGGCAGAGAGACGTTTTCCGATGACGAGCCGCGATACACTTGCCATGCCAGCAGCAGCAGCAGCGATGCGGATAAGGAAGAACCGATCGCTTTTGTGTCTTGTGTAGTAGCAGCGCAGAGGATAGATAGCGCATTACGCCGGGGTATAAATCAGTCTGCTTTCACTTGCGCTGGTGCACACACACAGACACATACACACATATCAAGTGCATACGTGTGTGTGTGTGTGTATGTGTACATGTGCGCGCACACCTGACAATTAAAGTAGTGTGCATCACACTCCTCGGAAACGTGTTATTTTCGAACTTCCTTCGAAATTCCGATTGTTCCTCTTCTGCCGCCGTGTTGTTCTCGTTACGTGTCGCCCGCTGGTAATAGACGCGAGCGCGAGAGAGCTGTGCTCAGTGCCTCTCTCTTTCGCGCTCGACAACGAGCGAACAACACAAAAAAAAAGTTGAAGAAAAAAAAAACGACAACAAAACCGAAATATATATAACGCACAACAATGCGATATGATGGGAACAAAGATCGGTTCGATCGATATTATATGCGCGTGCACGTTATATTTCAGCAAAATGCGCGCCAAGATTTCGCGCGTACGGAGTGACAAAGATGGGAAAAAAAAACTAACAACGGCGGCGGTGGCGGTGGCAACCGTTTTGTTCTCGCTCTAATGTACTACCAGACTCGAAAAACTATTGTCTAATAATGAGGCAGGCTATTATATCCACATTATGTCACTCGCGTTTCTCATATTGTTATATTGCAGAATCTGTGCGCCTCGCTTATTTTTTTCTATTTTTTTTTTTCGAATAACCACCATGAAAATGAGAGACATATATTCCAAGCGAGTCGTCGTCGTAGAGGTTTCGACAATTGGGCGTGAGTTGGCTATTGCTCAAACACACACACACAACGCAATGACACGCCTCCCCCGCACTCACACACATAAACGCATGGAGAATTGAAATAATACTTGATGCGGTTGGTTTTTTTTTCTTTGAGGATAATAATATTGCATGTATATTTTATCAAAAGATTCATTACACGTTTACATATCCAATTGCACAGCATTGTTAAATGGCTATTATACAGCTAGACGAGTATTTATAAAATATTTACGTACATACATTGTATAAAAAAGAGGTATACGATTACACAAACAAATGAAAATTAAAAAAAAAATTAATCCGTCGGCGTATCAATTCCATTTGTAAAGTATATTCGACGATTATTATCCGCAAAATTCGTTTTGTTTTGTATAAAAAAATATCTCGATCGCGCGCCTCGCGCTCCTCTCTCTCCTCGGAGAGAGACAAGTCGTCGATCCTGCCATGGTATAAAAAAAGGAATTATAAAGAAGAAGTAATTCACAAAAGTTGGAAAAAATTGTATATACACAAAGATTGAGTGATTACGCTGGCTGCTTTTACACGATACACATCGGACGAGATAATAATAGCAGTAGTAGTGAACGAGAGAGAGAGAGAGTGAGAAAAAAGTAGAAATCGACCCGAGTTGAAAAATAATAAAAGGGAAACAAATATATGTTATTATTTATATTTAATAACGTTACAAACGAGCGGAGAGCGAGAGAGAATAGAGATTCGAGGTTGTATATAATAATACATGAAATATTATGTACGGCAGCTTTTAACGCGATAGAGAATCGGTATTATAACTTATCGCGATTACCGGGTGCAAGAAAAGAAAAGAAAGAAAGAAAAAAGAACAGAATAGCATCGAGATTTTACGCTCGGCAGATCGGTACATTATGCACATACACACACACATATGGAGCCAACTGGAGTTTTCACTTTGGCCTTTAAGTTTTTTTTTAAATTTTCACGAGTTCATACATACGGAAGAGGCTTTAAAGAATCGAAGTGCTTTATCGCGCATCGCGTATATAAAATCGTGTATATAAAACAAAAGTGTGTTTTTTTATGAATAATGCAGATGCAGAAATTCGTTTCAAGTGCTATTCACGTTTTTACAGACTTTTAAGTTTGTGTGAGAGAGAGAAAGAAATTCTCTCTCTCTCACACACACACATAATCTTACTGAGCCTCGCAAAGACATGTATCATATTGTAAACGCATCGTTAATGCACGCGTAGATGTGTATGTATAGCCCACACACACACATATTAGAATATATTATAATTAAGGCGACAAATGTACTGCACCACACGAAGCACTTATGAGATCGTTACGTGCATTATTTTTTCATTTTTTCGTTGTTGTTGATATTATTGATGATCGACGTTCGCCCATGACATTTTACTTTAAATGCAGCACACTCGAGAGTCTTTTTGTTGTTGTTCTTGCTGTTATTGTTGCTTGCTTATTTCTTCTTGTAGGGTCCGTCGTTGGCGCTGGGTGGTCCGTAATTGTCGATCGGTGTTCCGGGATTGGCGTTCGGTGGTCCGTACGCGCCGGACTGCTCCTTCTGCCAAAGAGAGAGAAAAATATTTTTCGTTGAGCTTATTTTTCACTAAATCAGTTAAATTAGCGAGATTGGCATCACTGACGAAACATTAACTCGGGGAAATCCCCCATTGCCTCGAATTATTTGAAACTTCACTTTTTGATTCTACGCACGATGTTTTAGAAGGTAGCAGTTGTTTTCGTTCGAAACTCGGTTTTATGTCGTGAGAAATTAAGGAAGGAAAACTCAGGGGAATCCCCGTTGACTCGAATTTTTCTGCAACTTCACTTTTCGATCGTATGCACGATGTCTTGCAAGGTATCGGCTTTTTCGGACACTCACCTGAGTCTTGTAGCGAATGAAGTAGACCTCGGGCTTGCTGGGCTGCGTGGGTGCCTGGGTCGGCAGCTGGATCTCTGGCGCCTCCTCGGGCTTCTTAACCAACACGTAGATCAGGGTCTTCTCCTCGTCGGGCTGCGGCAGCGCCGGGATCGCCGGGGCCGTGGGCGTGGGCGGCGTTGGCGCCTTGATGAACACGATCTTGTAGTGCTTCTGCGGTGGCGGTGCCGGGGCTACGTACTTCGGTGCCTTGTACTCGGGCGCCTCTGGGGGCGGCACGTGCACGTACACGTGCTTGTGGATGACGGGCTGCTGGGCCGGCTGGCCGTAGACCGGGGCTGGATAGCCGCCACCCTGGGAGTCGGACGACGAGGGGAAGTACGACGAGGCGATCGGCGGCTCGGGCCGAGCCAGCGCCACCGTGGCTATCGTTGCCAATACCTGCAGGTGGTACGTGAAGTACATGATATACACGATGAGAGAGTTGACAGAGTGAAAATATTCTATATGCACGCTCGAAGCACTGTTGCTGTGTATTAGGCAAAAATCTGTGAAAACTTTTGCCGCTAGGGGGCAGATGCGGCGTGAGTCGTCATGCGCAGAAACGCGTTTTTCGTGAGGCCCGAAAGAGCTCGTATTTTAAAATGTCCAAAAAAAAGGAATCAAAAGAAATTGGATATGGTGACTTAACTCTTCCTGAAATTAAAAAACGTTCTCATATCCTCCTATAAAATCATAATATAAATAAAAATTTTTATTTTTATAATTTATCCCAGTGCATTGAAAGTTATACAAAAGAAATATGATGAAGTATTTATCTCATAAACTAAATTTAATATTATACATAAAATAAACAGTACCTGATATACTTTCTGTGTACATATCTGTCGGAGCAAAGTGTTTTTGACATAACCCATCATTTGGCTTTACTTTCAGATTTGGCCTTCGAATAGCATTTAGCCACTTCTTTCTCAGATCTTCATTTTTCGGAAATTTAAATTTCTTTAGCCCTTGACAACTTTCGACCTTACACCGCATGACGTTACTTTTAATTTAGAAAATATTTATAATATTATTGAAACTCTCAGTATAGACAGCCAGCAGTAGTATATGCAGCAGAAAGCAGAATAACTATGCGTGTATCGAAATGATTACTGCGCATGACGACTCACGCCACATCTGCCGCCTGGCGGCCAAAGTTTTCACAGATTTTTGCCTAATACGTATGTATACCTACAATATGCTACATGGCAAATGAAATGGAAAGTCGTGCGAATTATTATTACTATATAGATATATATCCCCGGCGGTGCGGGGTTTAATGAGCCTCGCTATACGCTGCTGCAGCAGCGATCCGAACGAGCAGCAACGTTGCGAAAGTTGCGCGCGTGATATTTCTCGAAACTTCCGCTCGTCCGACTTGTGTACTGCACTATAATACGTTAGCGCGCGGGCAAGGAAGCGCAGCACGAGCCTTGCGAACATAATCGCGGCGCACAGAGCTCCACAGAGAGACAGCACAGACAAAAAAGAGACGGAGAAAAAAGAAAGAAAGAAAGAAAGAAGCGCAATATCGCAAGTGCGCGCGCGCGCCCGTGTAATATCGCGTAAATACGCGCGCGCGAGACGAGATTTCGTCGTGTTTGTATAATGATATACCCGCCGTATAGTAGTCGAGCGAAAGCCGCATCGCCACCGCGAGCGCAGCGGCGGGATGATTTCGACGAAAGATCCACTTAAATGCGAGCGAGCGCGGGTCAAGGCGAGACACACACACACAAAGAAGATGAAAGAGAAGGTGCACGCGAGCATCAAGCTTTTTGCTCTCGTTACGCAATGGTGTACCAAAAAAAAAAAAAAAAGAAAAGAAAAAAAAATTAAATAAGAATGAATCGAGGTAAAAATTGGCCTCTCAAGCGCGCGCGCGAAGAAAACAGCTCAGTCAGCTCTACATATACACATGCAGTAAGAGAGAGAAAAGCGCGAGAAAATGATTGATGAGCGCGGGAAACTTTCGCGCGCGCTCGCATTACGTGTCAAGCGCGCGGGCAACGGACAGCAGCAGCAACACAGAAAGGCACAAAAATTGTACCGACTCATTATGTATAGCATTTTGTTGCACTACGCGTATTACGCGAGAAGAAGGCATTTCGAACAGCGGCGCCCAATTTGGACGCGCGCGTGCGAGATACGAGACGTTGATACGAGAATGCGTATAATATATATAACGCACGTACGTACGTTTGTACATACAAAGACTCGACCGATGTTTCGTAATAAAAAAAAATATATATAATATAATATAATATAATATAAAAAAAAACACTTCCGAGTTCCGAGGCCTCTCTTTACGCTTTGCACTTATACACGGTGCAGTCGACATAATGAGTCGTGAATTTACAAGAAAAAAATTAAAAACTACACGCCACTGTACGGGTGAAAGAGCCGTATACACGCGCTGAATGTACCGTATAGATCGTGTGGCCAATCAGCACCGAATTTGCGTTTGAAATTATTTCCGGTGCGTATTATTATACCACGTAGTACATTAATACACACTAATGCTCGTTGTGCAACTTAAGTTTTGTGTATGTATATAAATTGTACATACGTATATAGCATTTACGCATCACGTGCACCAGTGTACTCGGTCGTCACGCACTGCATCTTTTTTTTCCATCAATTTACAAAATGCACGTTTTCTCGTTGTACATAATCGCGAGGCAAATTATCCAATATTTTTTTCTCTTTCTTTTTCTATTTTGGAAAGAAGCTAATACCGTATATACGCGATTTCGTGCCTCTCACGCGTGTATCAATTTTCTCCGTGGTTAAATCGTACGTACACGTATTTACTTATTCGTTTGTACGTTTGAAATTGTGCGGTAAATTATGTATGCACGCGCGGACTCACGCGTGTGTGTTTTGTGAATAGTGTACGCAATGTACGCAACGCCAAGAATTATATGCAGTCAAATTAAAGTAAATAGATCGTGTGCGCGAGGCTGTACACATGGACAAAAAAAAAAGATTTCGGTCACGAATCGTGAGTGCACAAGTACACGGACGCGGTATTTGGAAACGCTATTATAGACGTGCATTCGCAATCGGTATTATAATAATCGCCTGCACATTATGTCAAGAGATAGAAAAAAAGCCACAAATTTACAAATACAATGCAAAGTTGCAAAAAAAAAGAAAAAAAAATTAAACGACGGGACTCGCGATGCAGAGCGTTCGTATGGGCGAGCTTGCGCAAGCTCGCGACGCGTCAAGAAAGTTCTGTTTCCTACTTACGAAAAGTGTAGTCTTCATTTTATTCGGCTGGTTTTTTTTTCAATCTTCACTTCAGTCTATCTAAACCTTCTTCTCTGGTGCACACTAGTGGCAAAAATTATACGAACAACCAACTACAGTTTTCAATTCTGTTTTTTTAACACTTGTGTTTTTTTTTCTGCAGGACTCGCTACACGTGTACTTCTTACAATGCACTCGGATGAAGAACCGCGAGAAAAGTGCTTGACTGTAGCTTCACTCGGGGCCTCTTATATACCTCTCTCACGCTCGCGGCCCGATCGTCAAGGGGGCACACACACACACACACACACACAAACACTCACATCGAGGGAGAGAGAGAGAGGAAGGAGAGCCCGCTGCAGCTCATCCTGCAAGAGGTTCTCGGCGCGCGTTTTTTAGGGCTACCGATCAAGACCGAGCGAGGTGTAGAAGTAAGTAGTAGTAGTAGTAGGGGCCCCCCTATAATACGCACAGCAAAAAGGAGAGTGAGCGTGTACAGACACACATATATATAAAATATAATGCACGTGTGCGCGGCGAGCGATCGCCCAGGCGAAAGTATTATAACTATATATTCGCGGAAAAAAGAAAACGCATCGATGTGTACTTGTATGTAAGCGTATGTGTGAGAACGAGAGTGAGAGGGTCAGACGTATTTATCGGCGTTGCGCGATCGCACACACACACGTATTGCCCGAATGAAAATTGAAAAGCAATAAAAAAAAAAACAAAATGCCGAAGAAGTAGAAACATGTACAGGCGCGCAAGCGACAAGCGCGCGAAAATAGCGAAGACGATCGCTCGTTGCTTAGATTATCTATAAAGAGAGAGAGAAAGACAGAGCGAGAGAAAAGCTAAAGCGAGTCGGATAGTCCCGAGCGTTTCGCGTGTCGCAAGGCTGCGCATTTGGGCAGTGATTCTCGTCGTCGTCGCGCGACCGCGACGAGTTTGAAAAAGCTTCCCGCCGCGCGCGCAGTTCTACGAAGACAAGGGTAAAACTCACTCGCTTGCCTCTTCGTAATTCATGCACCGCTATATCGCCGTTGCATTATTATTTTTCAGATACACTGCACGATCCAACGGTTGCAAGCTTCGGGTACAGGGACCGTGCCGATCGCAGAGTGGTAATATTTTTCATTTATTTTTATTATGCTGCATACCGCGAGTATATATAATAAACGCGCGCGGATTTACGCAATGGCAGATAACGAGCGATTCATCAAAGTCATCGTTGCGCGGCGTCGGGATACATTTTCGCACTTCGCGCGCGCGCGCGAAAGCTGTCGTCCACTGCGCCGCGACGTCGGGGATCGCACGACGTAAGACTCTCAGCAGCAGTTTTTCGAACGGTGCTCGGGAGTAAGAAAATTTGTCGAAAATTTTTTCCACGATCGTACGTTATGATTTTTTTTTCTGGCGGCGGCTCGATTGCGAGAATCGCCGCGTATACCAATTTGATGATTTCCTAAAATTTGATTTTTGTTGTACCACGTAATTGTGTGAGAACGTGCGAAAGTTGACTTAGTTATGGAAAAGATGTTTACGTAGAAGTTAGACAGATCTTCGATTCTGATAGTCCAAAACCGTTGCTTGGACTTGTATAATTTTTCTCACGTTATCACTTGCGGATTTACGGATAAAGCTACTCGCCATCTAACGATGGAGTCTTGAAGTGATATTGTCGTACTTTAAAGTGGTTATTAAAACTAGTCTAATTTATATGAAACAATAAAATTTTGATGTTCAAATTTTTTGAAATACCTTGCACTATTTGCAACATAATTGTAAGAGTAAAATCACCAAAAACAAGCCAATTAATGTTAATTAAAGATTGTATTATTGAAATCAAAAGAAGAATATTTTTTTCTTTATGGTGATCACTCGGCTTTTTTATTCTTCTATTGCAAAACGCGCTAATAAATAATAATACCGCCAGCGAGCATTAAAATATAAATCTCAGGCTGCTTTGTCAACAGAATTACATTATTTTTCATTTCCTAATCGAGAATTGAATTAAAAATTACTTCTAAACTTGTACAATTTCACCTAAATCTAACACTATTTTCATCCGTTTGCTTGCACAAACAAAATATCTCCTTGACGCTCTTTTATCATGAGAGAGAGAGAGAGAGAGAGAGAGAGAGAGGAAGATGCACTATGTTAATTGACTCAGATATGCTGACCGCTTGAATCTGTTATCTGTTACATGCGTATAAAACGTATACATTAACAAAGTACCGAGGCTTACTAATAAATATTGCTAACCGTTCACTAACTTATACGATTATTTTAACTTTGCTACTTGCAGATTGACAGATAAAGATATACTAGCCATCTAGCGGGGGAGACTTAAAGTAGTAATGTCGTAGTGGTTGAGAACATACATCGTCATTTTCAAATAATTTGAAATGTGCTTAATATCTGTCATATAATTTTAAAAGAAAAATCACCAAAAACAAGTCAATTGATGGCAATTAATGGTAATTAATTTCTACCTGTGCAGGATTAAAACTAAATTAGGTCATTCAGGGCCAAACTAAAACCATGAATTTTCGATTGAAGAGGAACGATAGTCCATTTTGAAAATTTGAATTAAATTTAGAAATATCACTGACATAAAAATACGATGAAACAATGTTGAATCCTCGATCACGTACACAAATTGCGAGTAGATAGTCTCGATACTTTTTTGCGTGCCGCGCGAAAATTGCATAAAGGCACATTTGCCATCGATCGGCCATATGCTCTCTAATGCATCGAGCCACACGATGTATAAGAGCGTGCGAATACATTCTCCGTTTTCTATGTGTGCGTGTACAAACGAGCGGGCCCAACAGTCATAATCATTAATGTCCATTTGGACCTCGCGCCAGCGATTAAAAGAAGATTAGCGTGCGAACATTTTAACTCTTATCGATTTTCGACTCTTATCCCAGAGTCGAGCTGCTTTCAATTTGCACACTCTCGTTTCACAATATATAGATGCGCGCGCGTGCGTTTGTCAGACCGGCTTTTCGAGAAAAATACGAAAAAAAAATTATTATTACATATTCACGTACGTAATTTACTGAGTTACTTGGCACTTTCGCGACGATCTTCGTCGCTCGAAATGGATCATCCTCGTTACATTATTATATACGTACGTACGTAACGAGCGCGAAATTTTCCAATTCGAAAATCGATACGAGGACCTAATTTTTCTCGCATGTGCGCGCGATACGCGATATGTATACGTTGCGCAAGACAACGTCGCATGCCAATTCCCAGACGAGTAAACCACCGGTTCTTCTTTTTTTCTCTCTCTCTCTCTCTCTTTCTCTCGTTGTTGTCGTCATCGTCGTCCTCTCTCCGAGAAAACTCGCGATGCGTTTGGCTTCGGCACACGGCTGCATACCGGCGAATGTAATAAATATTTTTGGAATTATTTTGCTTTTTGATACTTCGGTACTTTGTGAAAAAAGCTAAGGTTCGGGGATCCCAACGGAATGCAACAAAAATTAAAAAAAAAGAGCCTAGAAATTGATGTTTTATGAACTTTGAGATTAAAATAAAAATTTTCACTGAATATAGTTGTTGAAAAACTTTTTTTATTTAAAAATGTGTATCAAAATAAAAATAAATAAATAAAAATTGAATTGAGAAATGAAAATCTTAAAATTGTCAGCCCTCTAGGTCTATCCCTCCTGGATCTACGGGAGTTCAAAAAACATGATTTTTCTCTACTTTTTTTTTGTTTTTTGACCAAACTTTATCAAAAAGTCGTATTTTCATGCGTCGATAAACATATTTCAATTTTGGTCCAATCGAATTTTAATGGGGTTTTATGTTATATTATAAATATGATGTTTGCCAACAAATTTGAATGCCGCATTAAATGAGACAAAAAAATCATATTTCAACAATTTTTTCATGTTCACCCGCGGAAATCTGAATAAAATTTGAAAAATAAAATTCCAATTTAGAGCCCCTGTTTATTCATTTTTCAATGCACTTTCCAAAAGTACATACTTTGTTTCAGTTTCATTTGTTTGACCATCACAGTTGACGTGACATAACCCATATATATTTTTTAATTTTCATTCCACTATTATTCATAAAGAAGTTTCAAATCTCGCAGCTGTGTACTCGTAGTATTCTGCAACCGAGGTTTGTCACTCTAGTAATAAATAAATAAATATATACGGACGCGCGCGCGTGTATACCCGGGCCATCGGAGAGCAAAGAAATGGCCCCGACGACGTAGCGAGCATAATAAAACGCCGTACTTTTTCTCGGGCGATAGTTCGACGATACATGTATATATGCGCGCGTATCGTGTTACACGGGATATTACGGTATGCAAGGATTTGCCGCGACTATACTATTCGACGCGTTGAATTGAGCTTTCCGATCACGCGTCGACGTGTAGTACTGCCAAGACATCTATAGTTTTTGTGTTGCTATGTACACAGTACCGATTGTCATTTCAGTCGAAGAAATTAGATTTTTTTCCATTGCGTTCGTGGCAATTAAAAAAAAATGATGTCTTTTACAACATTAAAAATCGAAAATATTTCAAACGCTATTTTTTTAGTTTTAAGAAAATGATACTGAGCTGTTTTGAAGAAGTGAGCTTCGTGTACGAAAGCTCGACGAACGATTAAAAGTTATGCAAAATGATGGTCATCTACTATCCAAGTACTAACCACACTCAACTTTGTTCATTTTCGGTGATCGGACGAGAACCATGACATTTTCAATTTTTTATTTTAAAATAAATTTTCATTTATCGTCAAAACTTTCTACGAAAATTCCTGGTGCATAAACATTTATACAATATTAGTACAGCAACTTATGTTTGTAACACAGAATGGCTTAAACATTAGATCTCGCTGTGATTATATGTTAGGCTACGTATTACATACATTTCATACTTATATTCATGTGTACATGTAGATTGATTATAAGCTCCTTAGAAAAATATCATAAAAAACTATGCTTTGGCTTCAATTTAGGAGAACCGGAGCTTTCAAAGTGATATGGACGTAGACATCAGATCGTTCAGAGAATAAATGATATAAGTTAACATTTCATTACCCGATTTAGAAGCGATTTTTTACCATTTCGAAGTTTTTTTTACAATTTAGAGGAAATTTTATAATACTTCTGAATAAGTGATAATTAAAAGAGTAAATTTTATAAGATCTGCTGTAATGATTCATACCAACCCATTGAATTCGATAATATTTACAAACCATAATATGGAAATCTGAGCAAATAGATGTAAACAAAGTAACACAAAGTCTGTACATGACCATTAATTTATTTGTTTTCAGTAATTTTCCAGTTACAATTATGTTTCCAAAAAATTTAGACTAGTTTTTAACTGCTTCAAATACGACAATATTACTTTAAGCCTCTACCACCAGATGGCGAGTATACCTCTATCCGTAAATCTGCAAGTGGCAAAATGAAAATAATAGTATAAGTCAAAGCACAAAGATTCATAATATGCCGTTTTCCTGTTGTACCACCGCATGTAAAGTTTTTGGGAAAATCATACATTTATCAATCTATAACAAACTCCAAATAAAACCTGTGAAATAATAATCCTATCGTAATGCCAATACTCCTCCTGCATCTATACAAAAAAAGTGTTTACCAACATTTTACCTTACGCTCGCATACTTTGGGGTCGCGCGATGTCTCAAGCTCGCACATATACCTATAACACATACATATATACAGCCAGCGCGTCGTGCGCTCGTGGCTCATACAGTTTGTTGTCGTTGTGTGCATACGCGGGGACCTGCGCGCAATTGCAAAATTCGTCGCAGTTATTAATCACGCTCGTGGAACATGAAAAAAAAAACAACAACAACAACAATATTCCGCATCTGCCTCGCGTATGTACATATCGTAGGCGAACGAAGCAGCGGCAGCAGCACACATGCACCTGTGCTTGCGTCAGTTCGCATGCTATACGTATACGTGCGTGCGTATATACCCGCGAGGATATGCATATTATACTATTAACGGCATCGAAAGTCCTTGTGGTGCTACTGCTGCTGCTGTCTACGCTCGCGCGAAAAAGAAATAAACGTTGGGTTATATAAGCGGCCGTCGCGTTTCGACTCGTCTCTATCGGATTTATAAAATGCTGACCATTTAAAATGTTCCGAATGACAATATTAATAATGATTGGCTTGGTTTTTGGCAATTTTTCTGTTACAATTACTTCAAGCGTTCACTACTAGATGGCGAGGTACCTTTATCCGCAAATCTGCAAGTGGTAAAGTGAAAATTATCATATAAGTCAAAGTGAGGTTTGACATTTTTTGTGCAATTGATTCTTTTTATTTTGAATGGGAGCGATGGGCTCAGTTTATTTAAGTAAAAAAAAAATGTATTACAATACATTTGTGGGTTTTTGCTACATATGTTATGTAAGTCAGAAGGTGGAGAAAGAAGTGTATGATATATAAAACAAGAAGAATGAAAGGCCCATCGACATCTCCTTCTGCCCCTGTTTGACCCCCGCGGGACCGCCGTTGGGCATTACTTTGCGGGGAGATAGTAATTGTCCAATTCCTGTAAAATCTCAGTGACGTTCTATTACGCAATTCCCTCCTTTACGTCTCCTTCATGTCTCTAATAACTCCGAAATGTTCGATTTGAAATCTAACAATCGAATCAACGCAAAAAAATAAGGAAAATACCTCATTGTACCGCGACGACGGATAATCTAGGCAAAGGTCGTCAGCCAGCCGGGCTCACCTCACCTTTCCCCACAGGCGCTCGCGCTGATATAAGCTAAGCGATTTTATACATGCAGCTGTGGATGCCACCGTGGCGCTTTCGCTTTTCTCCATTATATTTATATTTATTCATACGTCGTGCGTGCATGCATAGGTGTACATATCTCGAGCTAGCAGTTTTCACGCTGGGTACAAAATTTATCGAAAATCATTCGGATCGATCGCGTTTCACGAAGCTCGTGTGCATTTATGCAGGTAATTCACCTCTTAATGGCTGTACACGACGCGCAGCAGGAAAGAAACGAAGCGTCGACGCGATGCTGCTACTATGTATAGCGAATAAAAGCAGCTGCCGGGACGTGTTATATTATACCGGCGACATATAGAGTGCATAATTAAAAGCTCGTCAGCCGCGAGCAGTTTGCGCGTTTATTATAACATGGAAATTGACTGTATATCAGCGCGCGTGTGTGTGTAATTAGGGTGGAAAGTGACGAATCGACCTTGGCATCGAGCTAATTACTATTGGACGTGTTTTATGGAAAAAGAAAAAAAAGAGGAAGAAGCCATCATCGAAGCAGGACGACACTGACGAGCGACGATGTCATGTATACAGGGTGTCCCGGAGTCGATTCACAATATCGATACCGCTGGATAACCTGGAAAATTGATGCACTATTTGCTTTCTCGTTTATCAACAAAAACAAGAGAAACGATTTCCAGAGACCTTCGGTTTAGCTATACACTCCCTTGCTTCTAATTAACTCCGAGAGGCTTTCTGCGTTAAAATCAAAAGCTCGAAAAATATCTCAAAGCTTTTTCGTACCGAGACACCCTGTGTATACATCGATAATGATAATTGACGGCGAGCGCGTCGCTTTCGATCTCATCCTACACCGTCGCTTTCCTTCTCGTTACAACGACAAAACATTCACCCATACATAATACCGCGTGATCGGACTTGCAAGTCGCGTAAATATAAATATATACGCGCGCGCACTGATAAGTCGTTGAGCTTGCTCGACGCGTACTACAAAAAAAAATACAAAACTCGCTACGGTGTCGTAACTATATCGTCGCGTAAAAAACACGTATGGATCATCGGAAGAAAAAAGAAAACGGAAAAAAAAGAGAGAGGAGGAGGCTATCGAAGAAGTGCGTGCGTTTTCGTAACCGACTGCGCGTGGGCGCGCGCGCGCGAATTTCTCGCGCCATGTATATAAGAATCAATTCGCCGATATAACTTATCGAAAATACGTGCGCGCGAGGCAGAGTCGTCGCGTCGTTTCTTTTCTGTTCTTTCCTTTTCTTTATTTATTTTTTTTTTGGTATTTTTCCCATATTGCCAATTCGAGAGAAAGTAAATGTGTGCGCGTGCGGTATTCAAATATACACACACGCGCGCGCTGTAACGTAAGTACCGGTATGCCGGTGCATCTGCGCAGCCAAATTAAACGATATCTTGGCGCACGCGCGCGTTTTATTGACAAATCATCCCGCGCCACTTTCTTTTTCACTTGCTTACCGCTGCGTCCGAATTCAATATATATTTATATATAATGCGAGTGTGTGTGTGTGTGTGTGTGTAGTATACCGATAATTCTTGAGCGCCGTGCATTGAAAAATAATAATCGGTGCCCACATGTGCGCGCGGAGAGACATTTGAATCGTGCGAGGCGAAAGTTTTCCCGCGAACGGCCTTGCTTGGCGTTCGATTATTACATATTGTCGCGGCCCGTTCATCGTCTATCTACACGTGACTTTCTTGCCTATATACAGACGCGTATGTGTATATACCCTAATGCACTTCGCATCTCGTAATCATCCATCTTGCACATTATATACCGGAACATACCGTACATCATGCGGCACTTGAACAACATTTTTTTTTTCGTCGATGTATACGTACACGCGACGATATATAATTTGCACATTTTCGCTTCGCTAAAGAGAAAAGGAGAGATAATGCCTTTTTTCTTTTTTACCTTTTTTTTTTCTTGAGTAAAGATCCCGGCGCCAGGATGTATATAAATCCTCAAAGAAAGAGAAAGAAAGACAAAAAAAACGCCAAAGTCGTGCGCGGAAGTTAACGGATCGGGCCCACGCCGTCGTGTGATTGAGTCGCGTCGGCCCTCGGGGGAATCGACCTCTCTCGCTCGTTCGCTCGAGCGCATGACAACTCAATCTCAATCTCGCGCGAATCGCCTCTATATCACGATACAAAAGGCCAATTTTCCTGCACACTAGACGTCGTAGCGAGGCTTTTTTCATCGCCGAGCAATTATTATTATTATTATATACCGTGCCATCAATATGACGAACTATTAGAGCACGATTATTTATAGAGTTTAATCGATATTAGGCAGCGAAAGGAGATTGTCAGCGGTCTCGTTTAATATCGATGTAGAAATTTAATGCTTCGTATAAATACCGACAAAACGTCGTAAAATTCACCATTAATATTTCGTACAAGCTCCGGGTAGCGTGAACTATCGTTTTTTTTTTCAAAACCAAAGCCGAAACCAAAACAAACAAACGAAAAAGCGTGCCACCGTCCCACGCGCGAAAATCGGTTATTCATTTTCCTCGCGCACTAAAATGAAAAAAGTTGCGCAAGCTCACTCTCCGCGCCAGAGAGTCCCCGCCATCAGAATTCGTACGTACGTACGTATGCATAATTTTATAAAGCTATTACAAAAGACATTAACTAAGATACGTCGGTTGCGCGGCTACGCGCGCGCACTAAACACAGATTTTCCTTTCTCTCTCTCTCTCTCTGTCTATTTAGCTCTCCTTTTATAACTGCAATAAGTAGATCGGTAGAGAATATTTTACGGGCACGCAGAGCCACGACCACGCGCGTGTGTGTTTATCATTACGAAATGAGATGGGAAATCATCATCTCGATTCACCGCAGTAGCGGCAGCAGCATAACGTTGTTACCTATATTATATATTATATATATAGTTTAAAACCACGACGGCATCCTGTATGCGGCGCACGTGCGAAACGAAATCGATAAAAAAAACGAGCGACGCGTTTTAATTAACGGCCGCGCGCGGCTAAATACACATATAATACACATAATGTAATATCGATCGATCGGTTGCATCGAGGGTATTAACGTAATCGGAGCATACCGATCTATACCGATAGATAAAGATCGGCACACTTTAATTCGAAGATTTTCGTCGGAAAAACGGCCGATACACTTTTTTTTCGTCATCGCGTCTTCCTCTTCTTCTCAAGCGCCTATATACGTAAGAGTCCTTGATTTCAATTTTTTTTCTTTTTTTGCGAGCATGTGTGTGTGTGTACACATAATAAATATTTAACAATCGTGTTGGCTTGTGTGTGTGTGTACTGCACAGCGGAGAAGGACGAGAAGTAGCTCTGCCGCTGGTGCTCCTCTCCCGGGTGAAAGTCAACTATACTATAATTACGGCCCACCGCTTCTGCCGCTGCCTCTCTGTGCATATAGTAAGTCCCAGGGATCCTTGATGCATTCCAGGCAAACACTTACACACACACGCGGACAAATAGCTGAGTGGCGACGTTGGTGGTGGTGGTGGTGGTGGAGATATATATTTACACACATCACACACACACAAACACACGTTGGCATTATTATCATTGCCGAAAAATGTCGGCAACCGAAGATTCTCTCCTCTCGCTTCTTTTGTATACTTTCACTGCTCGAAACGAGAGTACGTTATCCTCCTTCTGCGGCTGCTCTTTTCCCTTTATTTTGTGTGTGTGTGTATGTATATTTTTTTTTATTCGGCGGCGGCGCCGCGTCGATCGAGAAGATGCAGCGGCGGCGGCCTTCGTAATCGTAAACTAGTCAGACTGGAAATTCGTATATGTCGGAGGGGCTTGTTTCGAGAAAGCTCGCGTGGCCCAATAATGCACCTTGTGTGTTGCGCTACGTAATAAGTGCCGCGCGCATCGATATGCGTGCATTAAATGCACATCTTCATCGCGCCGCATCGACTGTGGACTCTCTATCACGCAATGAGAAATTTGGAAATTTGCGTTTCTCGTTTGCATGCACTTTTTACTTTTTTTTTTGATACTCCAAAAAAAAGAGCGAGGACAAGAAAAGCCGGCATTATTATGTATACACTTTCGATCGACTG